GTGGCACTTTCCGTCCTCAGTTAGAACAATTCCCAGATATAACTTAATTTCTCATCGTTATAGACAAATGAAACAACGACGGTCCGGTTTCCTCTTTTCCTTCTTCCTTTAATCACTTATTGACACACACACATACGCACAAACGTATACATATATATATATATATATATATATATATATATATATATATATATATATAATTTTTTAGTAAGAAATATTCCTTATTTTGGCAGGTACCCACTGTAATAACTTTTATAAGGTCTATATGTATATAAATACATGCATAAACACACACACATACACTTTCTATTACTCTGAAATGTAGCGGCTCGGGACGGTTCGAAACGTTTGTATCGAAATGTTCCTTTGTGCATACATGAGAAACTATATATTACTAGGTTTATAAAAAAAATAAAAAATTACTTAATCAAAGAAATGAAATATCTATTCTTTGCCGGCTTGTCAAAAATCTTCCTTAATTAATACTTAATTAAAAAAAAGTGAAAAATGAAATATACATATTTATGTTTGATATTGAATAATAATTTTAAAATAATTCAAGTAATTCTGTCACATTTATTTGTTTTAAAAGATGTATAGTCTATTAGTCATTAAAATTGGGAATAATATTTTAAAATTGTAGTTCAATACGACGTATTCATTTACAGACAACCCTTTTAGAAAAAAATATTTATGTATACAAGTACAAATTTAACGACGAAACAAAAGTGCCGAAAAACCTTTTGCCGTTGAAAAAGAACAGACGACATGCGTTCAACGGATGTCATCATTCATTTCAAAAGTAAGTCCTATCCTAACTTGACTTAACCTCTTTTCGAAAGTAACAGATATTTTTATACAATAGTTGTCAGTGAAAAAGATTGCCCAACTGCCCCTTGTTAAAATGATTGGATTTCTCCATATACATAGAAACTAATATTATTAATGTATGTGATTATAAAACTCACTAAATTTCCATAATTCGCTTGAAAATAAAACATGACTAGGGATTTAATTTAATCTTATAATTGAATTTGAAGTTTTGAGCTTCTGTTTTTGAAACATGGTTATCAGTGTGTAGAGATGGAACCATATTTTTAAATAAGTAAATTTATATATATATATATATATATATATATATATATATATATATATATATATATATATATAAATTTGTATGCGTGTGTGCATACATATATATGTATGATTTTGTGTGCCTTTTTGCTTACATCTGTGTCTTTATGTGTGTGCCTATGTGTGTGTGTGCATATGTCTGTGGGTTGCAGTGTGTCTATGTTTGTGTCTTTTTGTATGTGTTTGTGTGTTTGTCGAAGTTGAATGAGAATATCTTGGTGTTTCCTGCATTCAAAGTTCACATTGATTCAAATAATGACAAGGTTTCAATCTTGATAGGAAATGCAGAATAGACGTCACTCCTCGAGAAAATTCACACGCTTACAACAGCCACAATATTCGTCTATTTGAAAATATTCCCCTTCGCCTCCGCTTATTTACATAACGCCCATTTATTATTATTTATTCTTTCTTTTGGTTCGTTTTTTTGTTTGTAATATATTCATCGTGCTTTTTCCTACGTCGAAGATCAGACTTCTTCTAGTGATGTGGGCTTTCACTAAACAATCACAAACAAAGAATTCTACCAGATAACAGATACCACAGCACTTGAGGATTTTCATCTGCATATGTAACTCGAAGAGAAAAATATGACAATTAGCAATACATGAAATAATATTGACATTCAGCAATACATGCAATATTATTGACATTCAGCAATACATGAAATAATATTTTAAGAAATCAAAATCCAAGTAAAAACTGAAGAGCGATATCAGATACTTGAGTTAAGAATTTTATTTTCCTGAAAATTATTTCAAGAGAATGATTTTATAAATTTCAACAAACGCTAGTACTATTTGCTCTGTCAATAAAGGCCGAATGTTTCCTTGTAAGGAAACGGCTAAAATTACGTTAATTATACTTGTGTAATGACGTTCTATTTACACTATATGCAATATGGAGCGTAGTATAATCGGTTTAGTTTTCATAAGCGAATCAGATATCATGTCAGTTAATAACGCTAAGCATTGACCTTAAACTAGAATCTAGAAATGACGATTCCTCTTATACCTATATAAAGAGATCCTGCTAAGTGAGTAGTGATACATCTATTAAACGTCATATTGATACAAGAAAGTAAAAATTACAATACACTAATGATTCTTATGCCCAGAATACCTATATATGTATCTCTTTCTCATATATATATATATATATATATATATGTATGTATGTATAAATTGATTCAACATGAAGATTGTGTTGCAACATAGAACAAACGTTTGCTGAAGACCCCAATGTCGATTTTCATATTATATATATATATATATATATATATATATATATATATATATATATATATATATATATATATAAAATTATTTATTTAAAATAATGATTCCATCACGTTTTAAATAAATAA